TCTCCCTAGGGAACCCGCGGAGCCAGACACGATTCTCCACCTTGCCACTGGACTCCGAGAGATCCGGGGCAGGAAGCCGACGCGCAACACGACGTCCCGAATCAGAACTGCCACAATCATATGATGTCGGAGCCCGCGACAATGAGGAAAGCTGGGTCTGCACCGCTTGAATCTTGGCCTCCAGGCTGGAAACAACCTCGGTGGAAAGGGAGGAGCCCTTACCAAGGCCCTTGGCCATGACTTCATGCCTGCGCTCGAACTTCTCATCTCAATTCTTGAGCATGCTCTCAACTCGCATGACAGCCTTGTCCGTGCTCTTGTCGAGGTTAGTCATCCACGCCTCGAGCTGGGCACAGCGCTGGGCACAGGAGGCGACCTCGTTCATCTGGGATTTCATGTTGCTCATATCGGCCACAAGCGCGGTTATGTTGGCGTTCAGCTGCCCCAGGACAGACGCGAGGTCGACAACATGCCCGCCAGACATGGCGGAGCGAAATGAAAAACTGTGGGAAAAGAAAATCGAATGAAGAGCCGCAACGCACGGGCACTGAAGTTCCTGTGCCGCGAGGCCTGTCCTCGCAAGAAGGGCGCCCTGAGCCGTCCCTTCGGCAGCGATCAAGCTCGAAGCGCCAGGGAAGCGTTTCGAACTTGAGCCAAAATGGCTACGGATGATGATGACGATGATGATGATGATGATATGATGATGATGATGATGATGATGATGATGATGATGATGATGATGATGATGATGATGATGATGATGATGATGATGATGATGATGCTGATGCTGATGACGATGATGGTGGCGGGGCCCTCCTCTGCCAGCGCGGCGCCATCCAGCCCGCCCGCGTCGAAACGCAGCGACCTCAGGTACGCGCCCAGGGAGCCCAGCGCCACGGGGTACGAGTTCTCCTCGGGCAGAAGTCGGCGGAGCGCCAAGGGGGGAAGGCAGATGCTCTGCGGATTTTTTGGTTGAAAAGGGGGGGTCACAACCCTCCTGGGCGAGCAATTTCAGAGTCCCCGAACCCTCCGAGGCAATTCAAATACCCTCCCCCAAAAAATGCCGTCACACACCCCACAGATATATATATATATATATATATATATATACATATATACACACACACTGTATGATGAAATCCAGAGTAGCCAGCCCGAACGTATCCTTATCCCCCAGGTCGGCAAGCCCAGGGCGATGAAAATCTTAGGGATGTGCCCTCAGGGACCGAAGGAATCCTTAACATCGGTACCGAGGTAAGGTGATGCCAAACATAGGGAACGAAATATGCATCAAGCTGGTACAGAAGGGGCGGGCCTTCTCGCAAGACTCCCACGGCCTCTGGCCTTCTGAGAAGTTGTCTGAGCCTTCTCCTAAGACGCAGACAGCTCCTCAGAAGGCCAGGGGGCCTGCTAAGAAGCCCTGCCGCCTTCTGAGAAGGCCCGCCCCATCTAACACACACACACACACAACCCTGAGCGCGCCGCCGAGGAAGGGCGCACCGATGCTCGCCGTCGCCGTTAGCCGAGAGCGGGCGCGGACGCAGGGCCGCAAGGAGACTCGCCGGGCCGAGGTTTGTCCTCCGCCCGAGGCGCCCCGGACGGGACGCGCGGTCCAGCTCGATCGGCCTTCGGGTCACGAGCGGCGAACATGTCCGCATCCCCACCCTCGCAATCTGGACTCCCGCGGGCCCGCCGACACGAGGTCGCACGGATACGTTCCGCGCGGGGCATCTGCAAACAAAACGCCCTCCCCCGTGTCCGCGGGGTCATGGCCCAGGGGCCCGTGCCGCGAGGCCGCGGATACGCAGACGTGCTTCGCACACGACCGGGGGGGGTCCTCTCGCCTCTGAGCTTTGGCTGGAAGCCATCCGCGGAGCGCGCGAGCTGGAAAGGGACCGACAAAAGAGCTGCCTCGACTGATTTGGCCTCGAGCACCTAGGGGCCATCCAGCAGGGGTCGGAATAGATAGAGGTCGGAGGATCGCGCCGCATTGCCTATGCATCGGCGATGCGGCGCGATCCTCCGACCCCATCTACTCCGACCCCATCTGGGAAGCCTGGAGCGGCTGGAAGCCATCCGCGGAACGCGCGAGCTGGAAAGGGACCGAAGAGACGACCTGCATAGACTGATTCGGCCTCGAGCAGCTGCGCTCTGGAGGGTCGGGGCCCGCCGGGGGCCCAAAGAAAAGAAAGCCGCTTCGGAATCCCTGGCCCGGTGGCAAGATGGGCCCTCGCTACCATCAAAGAGGACCCCCCCCCTCCTCGAGCAAACGACCTGCCTCGCCTGATCCGGCCTCGAGCGGCTGCGCCCTGGAGGCTCGGGGCTCGCCGGGGCGGCCGAGAAGCGCGGGCGCAGGTCGCCGCCGCAGGCCCACGGGCGGCGGGCGGAGCGCCTCTGGCAGAGGGCGGGGCGCGGCAGAGCGAGGTCTCTCCGGGGGACGCCGGCTGTGCACCTGCAAAGGTCCCTGCTGTGCCAGGTGGGTGCATTTGGGTGTCGCTACAGGGGGGAGGGCGATGATGGGCCCAAGAGGCCGTCCTTGGGGCCCCAAAGGGCCCCTTTTCTGCAGCCGTCGCTGCCCCCCCATTTATCGCCCCCCCATTACGCGAGGCCCAAATGTATGCGCCCTCCTGGCCCCGCTGGGGAACAGCATTCGCTGGGCCTTGGCCCCCGATCGGCCTGGACAGGATCGGCGCGGGTGGATGGTCGTCGTCGTCGCCGTCTTCTCCGCGGGGGCCACGTCGTCGCCGCGGCCGTCGGTCGTCGACGCCGTCGGCCGCAGTCGGTCGTCGCTGCCGCGCGAGGTCGCCGTCGGTCGCCGCCGTCGCCGGCGCCGCCGCGGTCCGCGCCGCCACCGCCGTTGGCCGCCGCCGCCGCCGGAGGACGGGCTGAGTGCCGAGAGCGGGGCCAGGCGACCCAGCGGCGGGTGCTCCCCGGCGGGGCGCCACGCGGCGTGACGTGTTCGCCAGCGGGGCGCCGCGTCGTGGCGGTCGGCGTCGGCGGTGGTCGCGGCAAGTGGTCACCGTCGTCGTCACAGGGGGAGTGGCTGCGGGGGGGGGGGCGAAGAGGAGGAGCACCAGGCAGGGGGGGCCTGGAGATGGGGCCCGCAGCGGCATCATCAGGAGGGAGAGGCAGTCGTCGGGGGAGGAGGACGATGAGGGTGGATAGGGGAGAGTGGATGGCGGAGGTCGGAACGCAGAGGTGATGTTCTCATCGTTAGTCGTAGCTGCTTTATGCCCCCTCGTTTCGGGTTGGATCCACATTGCCGCGACACCATGCGAGGTCCCATCGCCGCGGCGTATCAGTTCTCATCGGCGGGCCACGAAGTCGGGTAAATTCAGCGCCGCGGCGTATCAGTTCTCATCGGCGGGCCACACGTCGCTCGGGTGAGATGGGAACGGGAGGAGGGAGAAGGAGGAGGAGAAGGAGGAGGAGGCAAGGGAGGCGGACGAGAGGCACGACGATGCAGAGTAAAAGTGAAGAGGAGGAGCAGGAAACAGAAGGAGGAGGAGGGACAGAGGAGGAGGGCGGAGCAACGAGGACGAATAGCAAGGCGGAGGAGGTTGGGGGGAGGCGTATGGGAGGAGGCGGACGAGGAGGGAAGAGGAGAAGGAGGAGGCGACCCTGGGGAGGCGGACGAAGAGGGAGGGGGAGGAGGAGCGGGCGAAGGAGCAGGAGTCAGGAGGAGCCAAGAGGGATCATAACAGAGAGGAAGGAGGGGGGGGGGGGCGGAGGGGGGAGGAGAGAGAAGGCAGGATGGATGAAGGAGAGCCTTGCTAGCCATGGAGACCTCATGTCGAAGCATGCCCAAGATGGGAGCTCACGTCTCTGCGAAGCACCGAGCTGCTCGGTGACAGGGACCTGCGACCTAGTTATAATAAGCACGGAGGATCATTTTTTTTGTTCAAGGCAAACAAGCAGGGGAGAAGGAGGAATCCGCTGCCCCTCAAGGGGACTTTCCTTACCGCGAACCCGAACGAACCCGAACGAACGAACACGGAGGATCATGGCGACAGAGACCATCGTAAGAATTGAGCCTGGCAGCGATCGTCAGAAATCTGTATGTTCATCGAGGGGCGAAGCCCACCAACGATGATCAGAGACATGCGTGCTCTACCGGGAGGGAGCCTACCTTGGGCGCCCGAGTTATCCGGGATAACTCGGGTCCGGGGTAACTCGGGTTTGGATCCCCGAAAAAGGAACCCGAGTTAGCCCTGACCCGAGTTACCCCTGATGATTCGGGGCTCTGGACGCCCGAGTTATCCGGGGTAACTCGGGTCCGGGGTAACTCGGGTTTGGATTCCCGGAAAAAGAACCCGAGTTATCCCTGACCCGAGTTACCCCTGATGATTCGGGGCTCTGAACATGCGTGTCCTACCGGGAGGGAGCCTACCGGCCGGATTCTGAGACCTTCGGGATTCGTGAGGCCAGCCCTAACTGACTACCTACCAGACCACCCCAACCCAACCCGAAGACCCCGATTTCGGGTTGGGGGGGGTAAGGGTTCCACACGTGTTTTTTCGATGCTTCCCGGACCCCCCCCCCACTGGAAATCGAGGATAAATTGGGGCCTTCGGGTTGGGTTGGGGTGGTTTGGTGGGTGGTGAATCAGAGACATGCGTGTTCTACCGGGAGGGAGCCTACCGGCCGGATTCTGAGACCTTCGGGATCCGTGAGGCCAGCCCCAACCACGAGACGCGGGCCTGCCGGCCTTACAGCATTCGAGACTTGCGGTGTCCAGAACCCAGATAGCGAGGCGACAAAAACTGCTGAAGAGACCTTCGAAGAAACGCCAGAAACCCTGGAAAGGATCTTCTGGAAAACTTGACGGTACACGTATGGGGAAACAGTCAGAAAAGGTCTGCCGAAACGCGCTGCAGCTTCGCAAGAGTCACAGCGGGGACTTTGGACCGCCGCCGGAAGGAGCTCCAGGGCTACCATGCGGCGCCGGCTTCTAATCCCACAACCTTTTTAGCTTTCTCGAGCTACCCGGGAACATGTACTTAGGACCTGCGAATAAAGACGACCCGGCTCAACAGCTGCAACAGCACCTGAGGAGGGCAGCCGCGGCCGCACCAGCAGCGGCAGCGAGGTCCTCAGGAGCAGGGGGAGACGGTCGGCAGAACACAACAAGGGCAGCAGGAGGAGCACCAGCAGCGGCAGGAGAAGCCAGCGAGCTCCCGCACTGCAGATTCACTGAGCTCGAGCGCCGCCATGCGGGGGTCGCCCATAGACAGCCCACTGGGGCCGCCCAGCGTCCAGCTGAGGCCTTCCGGGCCGCTCATTATGCAGAGACGGTTGGAAAGGAGCGGGGAACGAGGACGGCGGAGGGACGGGTGGAAATAGAGGGGAAATACGGGAAACCGAAGGAGAAAGAGAGAGAGAGAGAGAGAGAGATGGAGATCTGAATAACTGTTACCGAACGCGGGGCCCAAACAATGTGTGTCTACCATGAAATGTTGCGCAACCAATGTGGAGCAACATGCGTGGTGCAATTTACGAACTGCATTATGTGCGGTGCAAAATTGGTGGTGTGATATGTGTGGTGCGTTGTATGCTGTGCAAAATTCGTTGCGCAGAGTATGCGTTGATATCTAATGTGTGCAACATATGTAGTAGTGCCATCTCCGTGGTAATCTATGTTGTGCGATATATGTTGTACAACCTACGTGGTGCAAAATGCGTGGCGCACTGTACGTGGTGCAACTTGCGCAGTACACGTTGTGCGTGTTGCAAACAATGGTGCGCACCGTACGCGGGGCAATATATGTGGTGTTATATACGTGTTGTGGTTTATGTGGTGCGGTCTACGGTGCGCAATATCCGTTGCAGCACGCGTAATGCAATATATGTAATGCGATATGCGTGCATCCATGTCATGATGCACATACACGTATATGCATAAGGATGTTGCGACACGTATATAGATATATGTAGGGCTGTCGAATGATCACTAATGAACTGCCAACTGTGGTCGTTGCTCGCGCAATCATCCCACCCACCCTACCGCAATTTGGTTCGCAAAGCCCGCGCAGCGGCGACTGCGATGACTGATTGACGCTGGCTGGCGGTTTGCCGCGGCCGCGGTAGCGCGCGCAGGCTCGTGCGCAGAGCGGCAGCCTAGTCTGGCGTGACCGACGCGGCCACGGTGGCGCTGACCGCTGGGGGTTCCACAACGCGTCTCAAAGGCCGCACTGGCGCGCGAGCGCCTTTGTGCGAGTCCGTGACTCGGGCGGGCGCGGTATCATGACAACGTCGACAACGGCAGACACAATGATGATAGTAACGATGTTGGTGACGCTGGTGACGATGACGATGGCAAGGCCAGTGGCGGCGCCGATGACGATGATAGTGCCCACGTGTGTCGGCGACGAAAGTTCGGGGAAGGGGTTCGACATGCGCGCGCGGCCAACGGGACCCGATGGCCCGCACTGCATTATGTGACAAAGACCGTCCCCCGCCTCCAAGCGCAAAGGCGTTCGAATGATCTCGCCACGCGCGAGCAACAAAAAACATTTGGCTGCAGTCGGGTGACATGCTGAATAACCGATGGTTACCATGAGATATCGCAAGGGCGCAGGCGCATACTTGTTTGAAGAATGAACATGTTGCAACCAATGGTGGTTTATATTTTTCGCGAACTTCCATCTTGAAGCCCCTGCGAGACCTAAAATGTTTGAAATATTTCGGTATACCCGCGCGACAACGCGTGCGTGTGTATCTTGCGCCCTATGCTGCACAGGGAGTTGGGAAAATGGATGATGCTCGATAAGCGGGCGCGCGCACGGTTCTCAGTTGACGCAGGCGAGGGCCGCAAGGGCCCTAGCTGGGAAGGCATGGACTCACATGTTCAAGGGATGATCGAACAGAGTCATAAGTAACTTGAAATACTCAAGGGGTACCGAGTATTCTGGGGTGGGAGGTTGGTAGGTCCGAATTTCTTTTCAAACCAAAGAACTTGCGTTGTCCCACCGACTCGGTGCGGTTTACTTGTGGAACTCGCAATTATCAACTCCACTGCTCGCGCAATCATCCCACCCACCCACCCGCAACTTGTTTTGCAAAACGCATGCGGCGGCGATTGCGATGAGTGCTTGGCGTTGGCCGGTGCTGCTCTGAGGCCGCGCTAGCCCGCGCGTGCTCGCGCGCGCAGCGGCCAAATAGCTTGGAACGACCGACACGGCCGCGGTGGCGGTGACCTCCGGACACTTCCCAACAGGCACGTCAGTGCGAGTCGGCCACGTGGACGGGCGCGGTACTATCGCAACGTCGACAACGGTCGACACGATGAGGACAATACCGACGCTGGCGGCGATGATGACAACGGCTACGGCGCGGCCAGTGACGGCGCCGATGCTGATTGAGACGACGACGATGACGGCGCCCTCGCGTCGGCGAAGCAAATTTTGGAAGGAAATCGACATGCGCGCGCGGCCGACGCGGGAGAGTGGCCCGCACGGTATTATTTGACACGGATCGCGCCCCACGCACGCGCGCAAAGGCGTTCGAATCATGTCGACATGCGGCGCGAAAGGCCATGTCGCCGAAGACCATGAATACTGTGAAAAACATGCACTTCTTTGGTGAGTGCGCAAGAGCGCGAGCGCAATTGTTTCTTAAATGCAGAACTGGCAAAATCACGTGTTTGTAAGATGTTGTCGGGGCATTCGATTTTGAAATCCTTGCGAAACCTCAGGCTTTTGAAATATGTCGTCCGTCTCATCTGTTACAAGGGGTTCTTGCGACAGCGCGCGCAAGGGCGTTCGAACGAGTTCTACATGCTCGCGCGAGGGGTCCATTTGGTAGCATGTTATGGAAATACTGAATCACCCATGGTTTTCCTAAGAATTCGCAAGAGCGCGACCGCAACTTGCTGGGGAAATCGTTGTTGCTAAACCATGTGTTAACATGTGTTCGGGACGCTCGGTTTTGAAATCTCTGTGGAACTTAAAGATTTGAAGTATTTCGACATGCGCGCGCGAAGACGCGCACGCACGCACTTCGTCACATTTTACTGCACGGGAGCCTCGAGCACGGATGAAGTCTGTTAAACGAATGCGCGCGCATATAACTTTTTGCAGGGAGGATGAGGGGTGTGTGTGTGTGTTAAGATGGACTATGGGGCAGAACCAGATTCAAATTGCACTGCGGAATTGGGGGGGGCGTTTTTTTGGGGGGGAATTCATGATACCTTATATATAGACATATGTGTATATATATATATATATATATATATATATATATACATACACATATATGTATATGTGTATATGTATGAATGTATGTGTATATATATATATACATATATATATATATACGAGACTGCAGTGGCGCTTCGCGCCATGCACCTTGGTCCTTGAAGTTTGGTGTGCAGGCGGAATAGCAGGAAGGTCAAGCCGACAATTTAGCGATAACTCTTTGTTGCCTTTTTCCAGCATCGCCGCTATGATAATGTTACTCGTTATCCTTCCTCCATGCTTATTTTTCCTCATGTTCGCCATACCCTGCGCATTCTCCCTATCCTCCTCAGCTTTTTTTTTGGCGGAGGCTCCTCCTGGGAGAGCCTCTGGGGGCCTAAAAAAGTGGTTCAGGCTTTCTTAAGGCCTTCTGGAGGCCTCCTGGGCGTATTCTGGGGGCCTCTGGGGGCTTCCTCGGGCCACCCTGCCTCCAACCACGGTCTCCCTGAACGACCTGGTCACGATTTGGAATGCTTCGGAGGGTGTCTTGGGGCCATTCTGGGCCGCCATGGGGCTATTTGAGGGCCACCTTGGACCCGTGTTGTGCCGTTTTGGGGCTCTCCTGGACTGCTTGGAAGCCTTTTCGGATGGTTGTGGGGCGATTTGGGAGCCTCCCAGGCGGCTTCGGACGCCCAGAAGACCGCCGTCTTGGAGCGTCGGGAAGCCGAAAAGAGGAGAACCCCAAAATCCACAAACAACTAACAGAATATCAATGATTTGTGCCTCTTGGGAGTGCTCTCGGAGGCCTCTTTGGGGCCGTCCTGGAGGCCTCTTGGGCCACCTTGAGGTCATGTCGGTCACTCCTGGAGCGCTCTTGCGCTGTCATGGGTTACATGTTCGTTCTGGGGACCTTCCCACAGCCAGTCGCCGCCCTCGTGCGTCGATGCTGTGTCGAACGTCCGTCGACGCTGCGTCGAACCCGAATCGGCGGCGTCCCGCGAGCTCGGCGCGGGTAGGTCCTCGAACTTTCGAACGAGAGCGTTCCGCGCCCTTTCGCTCCCGACAGGTTGCGATGCCAGTCGCGTTCTTTCCTATATATTCGGTGGCGCGCCGAGGGGGTGGCGGGAAGGGGTGGCCTTCTTAAAAAGCCAAAGACTTCATAAAAGGCACCGCCCTTCTCACAGATGTCCCGAGGCTTCTCAGAAGCCTTCCTAAAACCCTGCCAGTTTCGAAAAACACCTGCCTTCGTAGATACCCCCTGCCTTCTTAGACGGCTGCCCCCCTCACGCCACCCCCTGGCGCACTGTTGTTCAACGATTTGGGAGTTCGCATACTTTCCGATACTCCCCGACGGCCCAAGACAGCCCCAGAGGCCATCTAGACAGATTGCCCCCAAAACGCCTGAGAGGCCTCCAAAATGGCCCCGGGACGGCCCAAGAGCGGCCCCAAGAAAGCACCAAGAGAGCCCCAAGGCAGTCCCAGGCGGCCTCCAAGACTGCCAATATGGCCCCACTGAGGGACCCAAGGCGCCCCCAAAACGCCCAGAACGCCCCCAAAAGATACCGAGATAGCTCAAGACGCCTCCATGACGGCCCGAGGCGGGCCCCGAACGGCCACAGACGCTTTCCAGGATAACCCCCCCAAAAAAACGAAAACCAACAGTTATTTCATAACTGTTGAAAATTGTGGGAGATTCCTCGTGCTCTGCCTTTCGACGTGTCGCCTTCCTCTCCCAAGTGTTCCCCGGAGGGCTTCCACAACGGCCAGGGGAACGCACGGCCCGATAGCTTGGCCGAACTCGGGCCGCAACGCTCGGCCACACCATCGCTTCTAAAAGGCAGGGGGCGACGGTAGTTCGCCGTAGTCGTCTTAGATGCAAGCTTGCCACGTCCTCAGAACAGATTTTGGTGCGAAATGAATGTCGATACCATTGCCCCGCCAAGGGGTTCCGAAGCAGCAAATATTCGAAGTCCTCATGTGGCTGCAGGCGTGGCATTTGTGTGTCTGTACTCAATGCACGCCAGCGGCGTGATTAATGTAAGCAAAGTAAACAGCACGTGACCGAGAAGATGGGAGCTCCCGCGCAATGAACGACCCAGAAAAAGGCACTTTGGAGGTGCCTGCGGGCGCCTGGGCAAAGCACTTGTGCAGTGCCTGCGGGCTGCCCAGGAAAGGCACTGGGGAGGTGCCTGCGGCCAGCCCTGGAAAAAGGCATTTGCGAGGTGCCTGCGTGGCCGTGGCCGCGGCCGGGGCCGTGGCCGCGGCTGCGCGGCCACACGCATGGGGCCAGCAGCTGGCTTTGGAAGGCTTTCCGCCCCCACGCCGAACCATGGAAAGGCGCGCGGGTGCATGACGTCCCGCCCGACGAACGTCACGATGAACGTTCCAACAACGTCGGCGTGAATCAACAGGTCGGTGAATCAGAAGAGGATGTGTGTCGCGACCATCGACATCACCAACAAGAACGTCCACCTGTGCTACATCGCCTTTGACACGGATCCAACCGAGCGAACCGAAGTGCTCGGCCCAGGATTGCCCTGGCCGGGGCGGCGGTGGTTTCAGCACATTGGATACGGCATGTTGGCGGCCAATGTGTCCCCCCAGAAGAAGTTACCAACGTTATGCGGTGTAAGCTACGCTGTTTGAATTACACGGCGCAATCCACGTGGCGCAAGCTAATTACGCGGCGCAAACTGCGCGGCGCAAGCTACGTGGTGCAAGCTACGCTGCGTAAGCAACGTGGTGTAGATTGGCCGATCCAACTTATTTAGAATGCAAGCATTGTTTGGGGAATCTTCCTCGGCCCATGGACTTCATCTCCGCCGCCGCACCGCGGGTGCCGAATGGGGCGCCCCTGGGCCTCGTCGAGGCCTCTGTCCTGCGAGCATGCCCGAAATTATGGTTCCCAGGATGGTTCGTCGCACCAGTTGACCCCAGGAGTGCCCACCTTCCCTCATGCCCCCAGGATGGTGCAACGTCAAAGCTGCATTGCGAACGCGGACGAAACTCTGGGGGACGAACTATGCCCACCGACAGCCAAGTCGCGCGCCAACGGAAACGACCCCCAGAAAATTCTCGGCGGGGAGGGCAGCTGCCCCGCGGCTGCCAAAAACGGCTGTCGTGAAGACAGCCGCTGGAGATGATTTCAATTACTTCCGTTGGCTTCCGGCTGATCGGAACACGAGCTTGCTTCCGCCGGCCGCCGCCTGAATTTATTCCGCCATCGCCCGCCGGACCCCGCCGGCCTCGGTGTTTTTTTCTGCGGGGCAACCGCGCCAAGCACAGCTCAAGCCGAGGTCCTTTGCGCCGCGCATCCGCTGCGAACACTGCCACGGGGCGCCCGCTCTCGAGGCCACGGGGCTGCTGGCGCGCCGTAGGCGCCAGCGCTACCTCGCGCACCAGGGGCCAATGCGCAATCCTCTATTTTCGGCGGCGCGCCGACAAGGTAGGGGGAGGGGGGGGCTTCTGAAAAGGCAGAATGCTTCCTACAAGGCATGGCTTCCCAGTTTTTAAGTAGCACCCTGCCTTCTGAGACGCCGCCCCCCCCCCAATGCACTTCTCGGCGCGCCGCCCAGAATCCTCGCTCAGGACTCCCCGTCCACTCCGAAAGGCGGCTCCGCGCCGAACACCGCCGTCGCCTCGGAAGCTGCGTCGGCAAACGGTTCGGACGCGCCCGCCTCGGCAGCGCCGGCCCCGCCGCCTCCCGCTGCCGGGGGCTCCGCGGCCACCTTTTTCAGATTATCAATCAGCCTCGTCGTCTTCTCGTCCTTCTTCCTCCCCTCCAGCATGAGGATGCTCGCCTGGCCCTGGCCCGGGATGAGCTTCGCCGCGCGCGCCTTCTTGTTCAGCCACAACAGAGGCTCCTTCGGGGACTTCGTGATCATCACGATGTCGCCCACAGCGATGACCTCCGGCTCCGTCTGGTGTTTCTTCGGGGCCCCGCCCCCGGTCGCGCCCGACTGGGGCGCACGCGCCTCAACTCGGCGGCGCGCGGAGGGGGTTGGGCCGAAGGGGGGGGGGCTTCTTAGAAGGCAGGGTGTTTCTGAGGAGCCCTAAGCACTCGAAGGGTTTCTAAGAAACACCGCGCCTTCTCAGAAGCCCCCCCCTTCCCCCGCCCCCCCCCAGCGCGCCGCCGATCAACGCCCGGGCCGCCCGTCGCCGGCGCCCCGTCTGGCTTCGCCGCCTCGGTCACCCCCTGCTTCGGCTCGCCCGCCGTCTCGTTGGCCAGCTCCTGCTGCGACTTTTTCTTGGCCTCCAGCTCCTCGACCACCCGGCGGTGACACCACATGAGCGCGTGGGCCGGCATGTCAGGCGTGACGAGCGGCACCGCGGAGCTCGCCATGGCGTGCACCTCCTGCAACATCTTCGACGGGATGCCCGTGTAATCCCGCGCATTGCTGGCGAAGCCAACAGCGCCGAGCCGGAGGGAGGCCACCTCCGCGAAGATGCTTGCCATGAACTTCGAGCGCTGCTCCTGGGATCGATCCCGGCCCTCGCGGTTGTCCAGGGGCCCCATCCCTGGCTCCACCATGTCCTTGGGCCCCTTCGCTTGGAGCTCGTTCAGGCGGGCGCACAGAGCCCCCAAGCCACGAACCACGGGATTCACCAACGATTCCTGCGCGCCGCCCTTGACCACGTGCTGGATGGCGTTGACCACGTTCTGGATTGCGCAATCCTTGTACCGAACGCCTTTGAGCAGCAGCCCAACCACCTGGTCCGGGTCCCCGGGGAACCACGCCTCGAGCAAACTGAACTCGCCCAGGGCCATTTTCATGAGATGCGCCAGCCTGGGCCCGGGCGAATTCGCCATCATGGCCTTCGCGAACTCCAGCTCCTTCTTCTGCTGCTCGTCCGCCTGCGCGTTGCCGAGCAGCGAAGTGATCAGCTCCAGCCTGGCCCTGCTGTCCGCGTTGCCCGCCTGCAAAGCGGCCGAGCCGTCGCTCTCGCCGCCTGGCTGCTCGCCGCCTGTAGAGGCCTCCTAGATGGGGTCGGAGTAGGTGGGGTCGGAGGGTGGCGGCGCATCGACGACACATCGCCGATGCATCGGCGATGCATCGGCGATGCGTCGGCGATGCGCCAGCGATGCGTCGTCGACGTCAGCGATGAATCGGCGACGTCGACGCGAAGCACGTCGGGCTCCACAGCGAGCCGCATCGGCGATGCATCGGCGATGCGGCGCGCTCCTTCGCCCCCGTCTAGTCCGACCCCACCTAGGAGGCCTAGAGCCTGGTTGCTCGCCGCCTGGCTGCTCGCCGCCTGGCTGCTCGCCGCCGGGCCGCTCGCCGCCTGGCTGCTCGCCGCCTGGCTGCTCGCCGCCGCCCGGCTGCTCGCCGCCTGCGCGGGCGCCCGAACTGGGCACGGAAAGGATGGGCACAATGCCCAACAACAAATGTTGTCCCAAACCAACAGCGGCCGCTGTTGGGCAGGCGGCATTCTTTCTCGAAAGAACGCAGGCCGCGGCGGCGCGGACAGCGAGTCCTGTTCAAAATGAACCAAATCCGCTGTTGGGCATTGTACCCATTCTTTCCACGCCCACTTCGCTCGTGCAGAACCTGGCTGCTCGCCGCCGGGCTGCTCCGCAGCCGGGCCCGGCGCCGCGCCGCGCCACGAGCTGGCTGTCTTCGCCAGGGCGAATTGCGCCTCGAACCGGGCCTTCCGGAAGCCAGCCAGGAACGGGCTCCCAGCAAGGGCAGAGATGTGCTTCGGCGGAAGGCCGTACTTTTCGAGCTCGCTCTCTGAGCCCGAAAACTGCCCCAGGAGGTCCACTTCGCCGATGCTGCAGATCGCCTGCGCAATCTTCGGGACCAGGGCGGGGTGCAGCTCCTTGGCCTCGCGGAAGAGCGGCGCGAAGTGGCCGATCACCTCGTGCGTCTTCCCCATTCAAGATCCAATCGGCGAGGTATTGAAAGAAATACCTAGACTCAACGGACAGCTCATCAGCAAACGATTTCTCCGAATCCCTCTTCATGTGCTCGGCCTTCTGTTTTTTCAAGTTGCCAACGTACATCTTCGCCCGGAAATGGGCCGTGTCCGTCTCTCCTGGCACGTAGAAGCGGCCGGCCTCGCAAGCCTTCTGGCAGTCCAACCGGAGGGTCTTGATGGACACGTCGTCGTCGTCCTCGCTGCTGACGTGCTCGGCCGGAGTCTTCCTCCGCTTCCGCTCGGGCGCCGCCTCCGCCCCCCCCGGCGCCACGCCCGACGAAGCCGCTGCCAGAGCCGCCGGGGCCGGTGCCATGCCCTGCGCGACCGCCGCTGGGCCGGACCCTGCGGCGACTTCGGCGCCGCAGCTCTGCCCCGAAGCATGGGCGTCGCCATCCTCGAGGCGCGGCTTCTTCGAGCCCCTGTCCTTTGCAGCTTTCCAACCGATCGTGCGCCTGAGGGCCCCGCGCATGCACGGCCCGGCGGGGGCGTGAGCATCCAACACCCACACCCTGTCGTGGTCGACCCCCTGGGCCTCGCTGGGCCCGAGAAGCCAGAAGCTGACTTTTTTGTCCTTCCCCACATCCGGGAAAGCCTCTTTCTGCACCAGCCACACCTCCCGTTCTTCTTTGACGAACTGCGTCACTCTGTCGGCCCACTCTCTGAACGCGCGCATGTCAATTTTGGTGAGCCCCAGCTTCTTCAAGGCCCCGCAGAGCTTGAAATGCACAGGGCCATCGGGGTCCACATCCGCGCCTTTCTTTTTCATCTCCCGCAAGGTGCGCCGGTAGCTGCTCGCCAGGGGGCGCGTTGTGGGCACATCCTCCATCGCTGCATTGACCGCCTCCGGGGTCGGCGGCCCTTCATTCACCATGGCGGCCGGTGGCGCAAGATCGAGCGATAATCTCAGGCTTCGAAGGTCTCTGGCTTGAGACGCAAAGCGCGGCAGCGTGTTACCCACCACGCCGCGCATCCTGGCGTCGCGAAAACATCATGACGGGAGGCTGTTCGTCATTATCGGCCTTTGGGGGCCCTCACAAGGCCCTGGGACCGTAAAAAAAAAGGGCTCAGTGCGAAAATTCGGTCCCAGGGAAGGCCTCCAGACCTCCAGAGGCCGACGTTTTGAACAAATGACGACGTCGGATGTAGGCCCGCCTGCAGGTGCGACGATCCTGCGTCGATCCTGTGTCGATTCTGCGTTGCAACTCACGAGGCAGACCGAGGTCGGGCATTTAGATACTTGAGACTCGCGCTTCTGGTGATTTAGTTCCTGTCGACAGCTCCACCATACAGCTTTGTAGCTTATCAGCAGCCCGAGTTACCTCATGAAGGCCATCAGAATCTCTTAAAACATGGCAGCGTACAAATATTTGTTCGAACCCAGCTCTGGTAGCATGCCGAGTTCGGGCATCTAGATACTCGAGACTAGCGCCCGATACTGTGACGATCCTAAGTCGATCCTGTGTCGACCCTGTGTCGATTTTGCGTCGACACCCCGTTGTTGCGTCGATCCTGCGTCGTTCCTGCGCCGAGTCTGCGTCGATCCTGCGTCGGTCCTGCGTCGATCCTGCGTCGATCCTGCGTTGATCCTGTGTCGATCCTGTGTCGATCTTGCGTCGACACTCCGTGGTTGCGTCGATCCTGTGTCGATCCTGTGTCGATTCTGCGTCGATCCTGTGTCGATATTGTGTCGATTCTGCGTCGATCCTGTGTCGATCCTGTGTCGATTCGTCGATTTTGAGTCGACGCTGTGTCGATGTTGAGTCGATTTGTCGACTTTGAGTCGAAATTGTCTCGATCCGTCGATGTTGTGTCGATTCTGTGTCGATCCTGCGTCGATCTTGCGTCAGAAGGAGGCCCCCAGGCCCTTTCCCCACGCCCTTGTTTTCCTCCGGGCGCCCACGCGTCTACGTTCGGAGAGCCCCGCCTACAGGCCAAACCGCAGCCCTCGCTGCTAAGTCATTGCCAAGGGGGCCCATTTCCGGATCTTGCCGTCTGCCTCCTCGTTCCCCGTTCCGCCACCAGGCACCTCCATCCTCCGCAGGTCGGCCTTCAGTTTCTCAAGCTCGTTGAAGAAGAAGGTGGCTCTGGCAGGGCTGGACTCGGCAAACTTGTTAACCTGGACCCTGTGCAACATCCAAGCGCGAAGGACCAGCGCGGCCCTGCCCCTGGCAAGGGCGTCTTCGCCGTGGTGTTTGAGCGCGGCCGCCTGCGATCTCTGCACACGTTTCCCCATGAAGTCCTCGCCGTGCCACCGCTTCAAAACGCTCATCTTCATATCCCCGTACTTCACCGGGTTCTCTGACAGCGCGCAGTAGCCGTTGTTGAACAGCGTCCAAGTCCCAGGGAGCGCCCTGTCTGAAGGAGAGCCGCCGTCGGCGCCCTCTTTGTCGTCACCGTCGTCGTCCGCGCCCTGCTCGTCTAAGTCGTGCGCGAGTTCCTCGGCCTCCCCCTCTGCCCCTCCCTCCATCTTGAGCAGCAGGCTCTCGCAATCCGAGCCGTCGCCCACTGCCGCGTCGCCCGCGCCGGCCGCGCCGGCGTCTGCCTGCGCGCGCGGGACAACCACGGGGGCGCGGTGCTCCAGCAGGGGCGCCACGCACTTGATGGCCATACCATCCGGAGCGACCTTCGCGTCGATCCCGCACGTGTACACCCGAACGGCAGCATCGTCGCGGGGCACGTTGCGCGTCTTCGCCAAGCAGGCGGCGCCGAGGAAGCCAGCGACGTAGTCGGTGTGGGCAGGGAGGAAATACTCATTGCACCCTGGGCGGGAATTCAGCAATGGCAGGTACCGGAACTCTCCGTTTAGACAGCAGAAGAAGCAAAACACCTTGTGTTCCGAGGCGCCGCGCTGCCATAGCAGCATCGCATACCCAGATGGCAGGTGAGCGATTTTGCGCTCCCACAGCGGCGGTTCCTTCGTAATCTTCGGTCCCAAGCGGGCAACGGCCGTGAGGCCCTCCCTCGGCGTCACTCTGCGGCTAAACTGCTGCCTCTCCACGGGGGCTTCTCGAAGACAGTGCCTAAAAAAGCCGTCGTTCGTGTCTAGCCACTCGAGCCAGTCCCGCTGCGTCACAGGAACGTGCGCCGCGTTGGCCAGCCGGGCCAAGCGGGCAGCCTCACCCTGTCGAGCTGCGACTTCCGCTTCCAGGTCGGCTGTGTGCGCCTCGACTTGCGACCGCAACGCATCCTTATCGCCCTCGTGCACAAGAGTCGAAGAAAGAACACCATTCCGCAGCGGATCATCGCCGCAACGACAGCCCCTTGGCCGAGGGACTAAGTGCGGCCATCTCTGCCGAGCCAGCGACCAGATATTGCATCTCTTCAACGAAGACGCCTGTTTGGCCGCCCGCATCCTGCAGGCCAGGAAACGCCCCCTCTCGACATGGTACTGGTGGAGCAGCTGATTCCGCGATGCTACCGCCAGCGACCTCGCCTTCGCATGGTCTGGCGCCCTGTCCTGATGAATCTTTCGTTCCGCGTCAAGACTATTGGCCAACATGGAACCGAGCACTTTGTCGATTTCCTCCTGCACTTCATCTGCCATCAACCACATCGCTGCGTCGCTGAGGCTCATGCAGCGCCAGGCCTCCCGCTTCAACGCCAGAGAGTAGCCCAAGTCTAAGTCGTCGTCGGGCACCTGCAAGAATTCCTCGCACTTTCGGGAGTAGCCCATGGGATTGTGCCGCCGAGACATCATCCACAACTTCCCTGGAAAGCGCCCATACAGATCAAACCGCATGACAATGCGCGCTTGCGTCACAAGCAAAGCCGTCAAACATGCGGGAACAACGAGCTTCTCGTCCACGCACAGTAAGGGCAACAATCGCCTCAGATGTTCCCCCGTGTGTTTTTGGATGTCTCCTTGCGCAATCCTCACGAAGTGTGGTCTCGGGTCGTCCACCTTCGGCATGCTCTGGCTTGCCATGCTGACAGCGTGGTGGCTCAATTGTAAACGCAGCGACGCTTTCCGCAGGTCCGAGGAGGTCTGTGGGTGGCAGAAAAAAGCCCGCATTGCCTTGATGCGGTTCGCGCCCTGGGCCCGAAGGCGCCCCTTCTGCTCTGGAAACAAGTCTCTGCCAAGCCCCAACAGATCCATCAAAAGGAGGGCCCACGCAGCAGGCGCAAATAAGAAAAAACGCGCCGTTATAGGCTTCGATTGAATCTTGAGCACCAAGGGAAGCAATATCTGAAAAAGGTCACCACACACGCTTTCCTTATCCGCCTCCTCAGAGGAGCAATGTTCCATAGCCAGGACGCTTCGATTCAAAATCGTCAGCAACGATGGTGGTATGGCGCCGTGGCCGTAGAGCTCTTGCAATTGAAGCGAACGCCGGCGCATCTCCTGCGACGCGGCATCCGCCCCGTCCGCTGCCATGTGCATTCGGCTCAATATGGGCGCCCGGAGGGTCGCGGACATTTCCGCCGCGCGCTCCGGAATCACATACTTGAACGCCCAGGAAGCGGCAGCGCAAAGTGCGTCTGAGTTCAGCGGGCCCTGTAAACATCGGCCACATATGGCGCACTGCACAACCAAGTTTGCCTGATGAGCTGCGCATTTGACCACGACCAAAGAATGTCTGATTCCCAGCTGGCGCTCCGCAGCATGGAGGAAAGCAAACAGCCGTTTGCAAGCCGCCTCGTTCGTGGCAACGGCATCGCCAATGACGACGTGGACGACGCGGACGGTGGCGCGCGGGCACCCGTCCTTGATGGCACGGGCAATGCTCTCGAACACCTGGATTAGACATTCTGCAATCGTGGGCGCGTCCTTGACGGACATGCCCATCAGCTCGGTGAGCACTGGCACCCGCGCCTGTCCAAAATCAACGCAGACCGCCTGATTTTGCACCTTGGAGTATCGCCCGACAGTTCTGTTCTGTAGCTCAGGCCGAAAAGCCCCGTCGAAATCAAAAGATGTCACTTTCATAGCTGCCTCATCGTGCACGTGCACCACGACG